CTGAGTGTAGGAAATGTTTATTTCACTGATTGGAAGCAAAATGTATTTTTCCCATAAAACTAACAAGTGTGTGTGTTTTTCTTTCTTCATCAAATGTCTCACATATGCAGTTTGTTCTTATCTGTTGTTAGCCAGTTTCATTGAACTTGATGGCTGAAATTGAGTTCAGATGAAAAAAAGAATTGGTTCTGTGTGTCCATCCCTGCTTTAAAAGGATGATCTTCAATTATTTTGAATGCCGTAATATTTTAATGTTCTGGTTGTTAGCATGATATTGTTTGATGATTAATCTGAAGTACGTAATTGTACCATGTTACTCCCTTGCTGGAAAACCTTTGAAAGCTTGAAGTAGATTTCAGCACTCTGTCAACTCAGTTTCTGACCTTACTTTCCCATCCCTTTTTAGTCTTCTCAAACTGCATTGCTCTTCGCAGACAGCCCCTGGTGGCTCATTCTATTGCTCTTTCCATGGTGTTTTGGTCATTAGTGCATCAGTTCCTTCCCATAGTTTTTTTTTTTCCCCCCTCTATCACATTTCATTTTGCTTATTATCCTTTTATTTTATCTTATTTCCTTTGTGAGGTTTACAGACCACACTAGGTTTACTGGATTCTATTAACTTATATTGGACGCTGCTAATATCATACCCTTTTCTGTTTATTTAAACTCTCATGCCTAAGGACATTATGTTTTCAATTGTTATTCTAGGTGGATTATTATGTGTAACACGTTAGTGTGAAAGTCTGTTATTTTTAAATGTGAAAAAAAAAGTTTGTGTGCCTAAGATCTAGGCTTGCATATATTAATCCTATGCCTATTACATTTGCTCTGTAATTACAGAGAAATAAATAATGATGAACTTGTTTTCATTCTAGATTCAAAAAGAGTTGCTACAGGAATACAATTTTGTAACTCTTGAGTCTCTTATAAATTTGAGACTCTCAAGATGGAATCTTATGTCACTGTGTAAACTTCTAAACATCTCTCTCTTCTTAATTTTGTTTTTTCACTTTTTAAATACATAATTACACCCTCATTTGTGTCTTTCCTTCATCAAAGAGAGACTTCCCTTCCATTTTAGTAGGGTTTTTCTTTTAAGGAGGTGGGCACCAGATAATTCAATTTTTGACATGCTAAATTTAAGATGCCTATAGTAGTTTTACATGCTGAATGCCATACAGTTAGATATTTGGAAGTCTGAACCTTAGGAGTTTTAAGCTTTTGAATTAGGAATCAGTTATCTCTGTGTGCATATGTTCCTATTTACCTACCAAGGATACAATGCAGATAGGATAATATTTAATATTGGAACCTTGTAGAGTTAGCTATATTCCAAAGCCAAATAATAGAGACTTAGGAAAGGAGACTTTGAAAAAAATAGGGAAAAGAGGATATTAACCTGAAGGGGGAAGAGAGACTTATGAAAGAGTAAGATGTAATTAATGTGTCACATGCTACTAGGAATCTAGGAGAGGAAAGATTTTTAGGATCAGTTGCATTTGGCTGTAGATGATCTTTAGGTATTGTGACAGGAGCTGTTTTAATTGTATGATAGGAAGGAAAATAGATATAGCAAATTAAATGAACTGAAGTTAAGAATTTGGGGACATCAATGTAGACTGTTTTTTTTTTATAGGAGTTTGACCTTAAAGGATGAAAAGTAAGGGTGCTTGTTAGGAGATAATGGAAGATAGGGTTAAGTACATTTTTTGTATGTTTAATTTGTTTTTATTTTTTACTTTTAAAAACTATTAATTATTTCTTTTAAGACAGAAGAAGGGAGTAAAATGATCCAGTAGAGAAAGAGAGGTTCAAAAAGTAGCAGATCAAAAATAGGCTAATCTGTGTCAGGAGCAAAGAGCTCTTTTCCTCAGAGCCAGGAAAGGGAGACAGATTAGAGGTTGGTAATTTTGAAATGATACCACTAGAACATTTTGAGGCATTATGCATTAATTGCATCAATTTTTCCTTGAAGGTGGAGCTATACTACATTACTAAAAGCGAGGGAAAAGATGGTAGTGTACAAGATGAAATTTTTGGCATGGCTGTTCTATGATATGGGTAGAGGCATGTGGAAGAATTTCTGGTTGCTGATAAGATGGCTTTCATTGTGCAGCTACATAACTGATCCTTCTGTGCAGATTTTCCTGAAAAAGGAATTTGTAAATTACTTAGTTCACCCAGAATTGATGATTTGTTGTTAAAGTTTAGTGGTTGACCAGTTCTGCAAAGGAGTTTGAAAGCTAAGCAAGAGTGCATCTAAAGTAAAAGAGTTTAGGTTAGAGAATATAGAATTTAAAGACAGCAAAAGAAATGTCAAGGGAGTGGTCATCACTGATCATAAAGAGCAGATATAGCGGTGGGAGGACAGTAAATGGCCTGGTTAGATTGGTAGATAAAGCCAGAAGTAGGGGCTGGGGGCTGAGGGAAGGACCTCTGTCTTAAAGGTGGCAGTTCTGGTAAAAGCATCTAGGTAAAATCCTTGGAGTTGGTGTCTGAAATAGATGGAGTCAGAGTCTGAGTCAACTGAAAATCAGGAAGTTTAACAAAGGGTTGAACACATGGTTTCTGAAGTCAGGTTAGCTGGTAAATCCCCGTGTCCTTGTTGTTTAGTTCTCATGCTTTCTTGGGCCAAATTTTTAACTTCACCAGCACTGGTTGCTTATGACAAAAATGGGCATGACAGTAGCACTGTAACTTTACTTTTGTGATGGGATTGAATGAGGCAATTCATAGAAAGTGTTTGTTCAGTCTCTGGCACAAGCCAACTGCTCAGTAAATTTCAGTACCAGTTGTAAAGTAGTTGTAGTTGTTTACTGTTCCTGTGAGCTCTATTTGCCATTTAGATCTCAGCATATGCTTCAGTACCTAAGAGAGACCCTCTATAGTCACACTGTAAAATACAGACCTCTTCAGGTAACTTTCCATCATGTTTTAGTATTTAGTACTGTCTACTGTTTCAATTAACTATGGGCATGAATACTTCCCCTGTTTGATTATTTAAGCCAAGACTAATTAATTTCTCTATAAGCCATGTGTCTAACACATAGTAGATGTAATCACTTTTGTTCCAAGTATTTGTTCCAAAAATGGAAAAAATCAGGTCCACCTCTTGGAGTGGAATCACTTGGTTGCCTCTTGTTAATAAAATTGATAGAATATTTGTAAAACTGTTAGAATAATGGCAAAGGTGTATCACAGTCAGTAGGGTTTTCTGATTTCATTTTAGAATTTTCCATACAAACAAGTACGCAGCTGTCACTTTACTGTTTTGTTTGAGTGAACTAAGGAGTGGCTCATACTTCTAGGATGTTTAAATTTAATAAACTGAGGAAATGCAGAACAGTTGCTCAGAAAAATAAATGTTGTCAAAGCATTATTATGTAAAGAATTTCTTGCCATAATGTCAAACTGTGATGTTAATCTTGGGGAAATTGTGTTTAACTTTCTTTGAGTCACTTGTCATGGGTATCGGAATTGAGACCTAAAAATTGTGCTGTTGGGGTGAGAAGAACTTTGTAAATATTTTCAGTCTGTTCAATTGTCAGTGGCTTAGTACAGGATAGATACTTGCCTATCTAGCTCATAGTGTCTTCCTACCCTTATGAGCTCATTCATTTTATGTTACTTGTGTTGTCCTTCGGTATTTGGAAATGAAGGGTAGGCAGGGATAGCTTATGTGACCTTTTGTAAGCACTTAATTTGTAATTGGTCACTTCCTTACGTTTGTAAGAGTGGGCTAATGTTAATGGTTGTAACATTCTTTTACTTGTTTAAAAGCAAAATCTTGTTGTTTTTGAATTTAAATATTGTTCTCACATTAAAATATGTATTAGTCATAGTGTTTAGTATAATTTCTAATATATTGTCTACCTTTATTTTTTTCCTTTTTTTATTAATTAAGTTTATTGTTATATTTTAGGTGTACATAGTGATCACATTCATCATAGGGAATTTGTACCTGTACATGGTATAACTTGATTTGTTTTTCCCCATTCCCCTCCCTCCCTTCAACCTCCCTTCCTCTTCTTATTTACAAAAGCTTTGCTTTCATTTTTCCTTCTTTTCTCATTTATTTTCTTTTTCCTTCCTTTCCCCCTTCTCCCTCCCTAGTTCTCCTTACCATTGGAACATTTTCTTCCTATTTCAAAGTATCTATTTACATTTTGGTCCTTATTTACACTTTTGGTTTTTCACACCAGAGAAACAATGCTGTATTTACATAAATATGTCTGATTTATTTCACTTAGCTAATTATTCCATTTAGCTAGAAATGTCTCAGGCTTTTTCTTCTTTATGTGCCCTTATTTTAGGAAAGTGAGATTTAAAAATTTTCTTAATTGGAAAATATTCTTCATAAATTAAGTTGACTTAAAAAATCTTTATTTACTATAGGGATTAATGACAGCTTGAGATAAGTGTTTTAACTTACAACACTATGTCAGTTTATCTGGAAATAACCTGTGTATGATCACTTTACTGGGAATCTTTCAAATTAACTTTTAAATATAGTATGATCTATACCGATGTTTCTGTCATTAATGCTTATTTTATTGTTACTGACTTTCATTTGATTGTAGTAAAATTTTATATGCTGCCAGAGAGTGAAATGTTACATTCCTTTTAATGATTTTCTAATAACCTGACACATTGTAAATCACTGACAGTCCTTCAACTGGTTGAAGCACTAGATTTTTAATAAAATAATATACATTGTGTTTCTCAACAATGCCTTTTATCTTAATGACAATAGAAAATACACATATTTTTCCCTTTTGGATAATATCATAAAAAGAGGTAATATTTCTATAAAAAATTGTTCTTTACTAATGTGATTGTGAAATAAAAAAGGACTCAGATTTTCTGTAATGATGGTTAGCAAAATTTAATATTGGTTTCCATTTCAGAATTATTAGCAATTCATAGTTGATGACCTTTTGCACTTTCAATTTTGACAATTTTTTCAATGTATTTTAATAATTTATATTCTTTATTCCTAGACTTTAATGTGTGAACTGGAGGACAGGGAAAAACAACAACTGCAGATGTTGGATAAACTCAAAAAAATTCAAAATCACTTTGACACATGTGAGTCCGACCGCAAGCACGCTGACCTCCAGATCTCAGAGCTGACTCACCATGCCGAGGATGCTACCAAGCAGGCCGAGCAGTACCTCAGCGAGCTGCAGCAGTCAGAGGCTCTGAGAGAGGAGGCAGAAAAGCGGAGAGAAGACCTGAAAACGAAAGCTCAAGAGTGCATTAGGCAGTGGAAGCTTAAGTATAAGAAATTAGAGCGAGCACTGGAGAAACAATCTGAAACTCTTAATCAGCTGACGGAAAAGAATAATCAGGTATAAAAGCCACATTCCTAAGGAATGGTTTTTGCTGCAGCTAGCTATTCATTCATCCATCCTTTCAACAAACACTTGAGTGCAATGCTGTGCGTAAAATCTATCATTATGTCCTTGAGAGAAGAGCCTTTTATATTTGGCTATTTTAGGGTAAAAAGTTACCTAGTTTTTTTATTTTTTAAAACTCGTTTTAATAGTTTTAAAATTCCAGGAGTTTACAGAGTTGGTCCTTAAAGTGAGTCTTCCCACTGCCTGAGTGTAGCTTTGCATTCTTTAGCTGAATTATTTTTCACTATTCTAAAATATTCAAATGGAAGAAAATCACTAAATTTCCCGTAGCATCATATGAATTTTCCTTCAGTGCCTCTATTTGAAAATTCATTTATTCGCATATTTCAGTTTGAGACACTGATTGGAAAGGAGCATTTAAAAAAATGCAACGGAATCCAGGCGTGGTGACGTACACCTGTATTCTCAGCACTTGGGAAGCTGAAGGAAGAAGATTGCTGTGAATTTGAGGCCAGCCTAGACTACATAGTGAGTTCAAGGACAGTCTGAACTACTTTGTGAGACCCTTTCTTTAAAAAAAAAAAAGCAGTAGTTACTATTGTGCTATTTTTCTGGCAGTAACTATATAATAGGCTTAATTAAATGAGTGACATTGACAGTCTCAATAACTAAGTAGTGGTGTCAGATCACATGTCTCTTCAAAAAGATCCCACTCTTGTGCACTTTTAATAGCCACAAAAAAGCTTTTACTTTTCTACGTGTGCATTTCACATCATCTTTTCTCTTGTATATAATCTGCTACTTTAAATGGATTTGCTGCTCTGATGTTGATTCTCTGCTATATGTTTGGGCAGAATTAAACCCAGATGTTCATAAGATAAGAAAGAGGAAAGTCAAGATTGATTTTTGTCCATGTTTAGTCTTGGTTTATCATCTGTGCTTTGTCATTTGTCACTTGTCAAGAACTCTTTAAATTCCAGAATAATAATTATTTGGATAAGTTGACTTTCAAATGAAAACAAAATGTGGGGCATTATATTTATATTTTACAAATGTAAGGTATTTATGGTACATTTAGAAAGTCAGCTGACGGCATTTAACGGCAACTGATGCCTTTTCAGATGAGGTTTCTTGGAGAAGATGCTTTATCTTTTATGTTTGAATTTTTCAGATATACTGAACATGAAGGAAGTGATCAGTCTGTGCTCAGCTGTGGGCTGCTCTTTATTCTGACACATCTGACGCATATGGAGTGAATGGCAGCCTTGTAGTGAAGTGGTTCTAAAAGCTTTGGAGCCTAGAAAATAATTCTACCTTGATTATTCTCTTGTTAGCCTAATCTGGCAACTAGTTTAGCGAGTCTGACCATAAGGGAAGTAAGTGGCAGCAAGAGTGGTTGATGAGAATGATTGAGAATCCTCTGGGAATTTTACTTAATTAGAGGAAACTCGGAAAGCCCATGTCATCAGACAATATCCCAGATCATGCAGCATGTCACTGAGAGTTTTCTAGCATTTTCAGAATATTAAAAATTATTAAACAATCATTTCCCAGGATACTTGTGATATAATTATTTTTTATCACTTGGCATTGCTAATGATAAGCAAAGAAGTAGTTTTAAAGTGATTGCCACAGTTAGGATAGTATCACAATTATCACAGCAGGCATTGTAATTTCCCCTTTAAAAGCCTTAAAAATTAATGCAGCATGTCGCAGTTAGAGCAATGGTTAATCAAGGAAGAAAGAGTAAGATTTGTTTCACTGCAGATGGAGGTGTCTGATAAATCTGTGATACAGAAATAGCTGGTAAATAATTTTTTAAAAATTATCTTACATGTAAGGAATATTTGATTTTTAATAAAATAAATTCACTTTAAGGCAAAAATAATATAGTCTACTTCCTTTATGTTTTTGGCAGTTCACAAAAGTGACTCCAAAGTATATGTGTAGTTTGAAGTAAAAATAATACTAGTTTATAAATGGAATATCTTGTTGTTTAAACAATAAATTATGTAATAATAGCCTTGCTGACCTGTTTTATCTAATCAAATGAGATAATCTTTGTATTTGCAAAATGGTTCTGTGACTATATTAATTTTGATTTCGAACATAATTTATTTCTGCTTTAAGATTTGCCACTTTAAAAAATATATATAAAAGCTAAATGCTTTTGTTATTTTAAAGCTTGCGCTGATTTTTTTCTATTCTTACTATATACAGCACATTTCTGGAATCTTGGTAGGGTGTTGCAAAACTGCTTTATTACTGAAGAATTTCTAGTTTCAGATGCATAGCTATCATTGCAGAAAAAAACAGGCCAGGGCTTATTTTTTCCTTAAAAGACAATAATGTATATATTTTCATTAGGGAATCTTGAGGCACTTTAGGGATACTTAGATGAACTCATACTGAGAGACTAAAAGTGTATAGATACAAATAATCTAGTTATCAGTTATGATATTTTTCTTTTAAAGTGTTATATGAAATCACTGGTTTTTATGTATAATTTGAAGATGATAAAGGAAAATATCTGAACTTTGACTCTGATCTTAGTATGAACATTTCTGAGTTCTTTCATATTCTTTTTTTTTAAAATGCATAATATTTTCTTGGGTTTTCTTTTCTGTTTTTTTCCTGCTGAATTGCCAGAATTACTGGCTTGCGCATACATTGAGCTTTGTGCTTAATAGTGTTTGACTTTAAGAATCTTAAATTGCCATCTTTTCCTTCTGTGCATTTCCCTCCTGCTGAGAAAGAAATAGTTATAGGTAATATATACTGTCTTATAAACTCTGAAATTTTAAAATAGTTCGAAGGAAAAAGGATCAAGGCTAAGTGCACCACTTTTAAAAATATGTATGCTATTCTATCATAAGCAATTCAAAAAAGTCTAGAAACTGATGTTTTCTGCATTTTTACATGTGTAGGAAAGTAACAAAAAATCGCCCGTTTACCTTTTGGTGAAATAAAAACAACAGTTCATCAGTTTGTATTTTATGGTCAAGCCTTTGAGAAGTTGTCTCTTGTTCCTCTAAATGCCACGCTTTTAGTCAGTATCATTCTTCTGTTTTTACAGGACCATTTTCAGGGCAAGTGTCCGTAAGTGTGATGGTGAACCTATGGCACACATGCCAAAGCAGGCTTCTTATATCATTGAAACTCTAAAAGGTTCACCATCATTGGTCTATAATCTTTCCATTTACCCCTTTTTTCTGAAAGTTTCCCTAGTTAGAATATTCTTTTCCTACTCTTGTTCCTCAATGCTAGTTTCTGTCCCCCTCCCATTTTATCTCCAAGTTTTTCAAGGATTTTGGCATCTGCCTTCTCGTTACCCATTAAGTGTAATTCTTGCCATCACCCTTAGTTCATTTCAGAGTTCAGGTCAGTAACCCATTGGCTGTGTATATTGTTCACTGATTTCCTTTTTTACAGTGACCTACAAATCACTGTTTTCCTTTAGCAACTAGTTGTGTGGATAAGATTTTTCTTCATCTGTAATTGTTCTATGTTCAAACCTTTCTTCCCCAAATCTGTCTCTGATCTTTCAGAGACTTTTTATTCCCTTTTCCCTTTTTTAAGCATTAACACCTCATTTTGATTTTTCCACATTCCTCTGGTGAATCAGCCATTTCCTGCATTCATTTTTTTCCCCAGTTAGATTGGATGACCCTGAAAGCCTGCCACCCTGTTTCTTCCTTTTACTTCACACATGAGGTACTGATCTCCAAACTGCAGTCAGCCTGCTCTCCACTTTCCACTCCTCCTGAATAGCATGAGCAAAACTTGCACAGACGTTTCAGTGGCTCCTGTAGTAGCTCATGGCACCTTCTTCCTAATTACCCTCCTCCCCTCCCACACCCATTCAGTAGTTAATATCATCCAACCACTGGGCACACCATCCCGACCTGATCAGTGAGGAATGAGTTGTGAAACCTCTTTCGGAGCTTGTGGGAATTTACTCACTCTTGAAAAAGATAAACTGTGTACATGGTTGTATCTGTTATGCCTGAAATGGCTGGACCTGCCTTGCCACTGTCCTGAGAAGGAAACTTTGCAAGAGGAGGTTTGCTGATTGAACTGCAGTGAGCTGAAGCTGGAGTTCTGGCCTACTGTGTTAGGAGCAGTAGTTTAAATCAGTTTGAATTTGGGTTTTCTTATATTCTCAGCAGAAGGAAATCAAGCCATATTTGAAGTTTAAAAAATATGAATTTTAGAAGTGAGGAGCTATACATAAAAAGAACCTGAATTGTAAGATTGACTAAGTAGAGATTTGGGTTAGGAGGAAGAATCTTCATGTTTTAAAGGGAAAGTTGTTAAATCTTGTTACACTGTTGAGAGTGATTGGTTAAGCTTTGGAAGTCATACTTTGAGACACTGACTGATACTGTAAATCAGAGTATGGTATTAAGTGACTGGTAGGAAAATTTAGGATATTGGTGGATGAGTGTTTTAGCTTTTGGAAAGACCCTACAGGACAAAGACAGATTTAAATTGAAGCTCGTCTGTAAAAGCAGAGATCAAGTTGCTGTTGTTTTGTGTGTGTGTGTGTGTGTGTGTGTGTGTGTGTGTGTGTGTAACCCAAAGTCTGCAATCTACAATCCAAACTGACTGGGTCTGAGTTTGCTCAGAAAGAACAGCTGTGTCCAGTCAGCAGCTCATGGGCCGCATGTGGCCCTGGACAGCTAGTAATATGGCCCCACAAGATGGTATAATTTGATATAATTATATGATTTTTAGTGATGTTTTTCATGATGCTATTATGCAGTGCTTGAGTGCCGATGACATAGTTATTATTAGTAATAATAGCAATAATGGATTGTATTAGGGGAGGGTACAGTGCAGTGGTAACTCCCTTCCCTCCCTTATTACACATAGTTGAATTGATTCCTGTGTGTATCAGATTACACGCACCTGTGAGACTTGGAGAATAAAATGTAGCCATTGATGATAATAGTATTTCACCCTTCCTACACATATGTGCCTATGAAGAC